ATTAAAAAAGAGTATAAAATATGCTTTTTTATTTTTCTTTAATAGTTTTTTTTTTTTTTTTTTTTTTTTTTGCAAAAAAAATCTAGTTTACCCCAAAAAAAAGAGTGAATTATATATATATATATATTTATATATATATATTTCAAATTAAAATGTGTTTCATGGCCAACCAAATTGTCTAGAAACAATGATGAATAATTTCCTTTTTTTTTGTTGGTTCCCTTTTTAAATAAAAATAAGATGTGATTTGAAAATAGGGACAAATTTAAAATGTGTTACATGGCTAACCAAGTTGTCTAAAAACAATGATGAATAATTTCCTGTTATATATATATATATATTTTTTTTTTTTTTTTAAAAAAAAGAAACATAAAAATTTGATTTGAAAATAAAGACAAATTTGAGCATTTTGGTTGTAGCGTAAAACAATACATGGCATCAATTGGAAAAAAACAAAGGACAATATTGTTTATTTATAATTTCAATTTTGTTTTCACATTATTTGTCATTTTTTAATACTAATATTTATATTCACATTTATCTTTCTTTTTATTTTTAAATATTTTATTACTTATTCAAAGGATTAATCCAACACATAAATACATCTACCAAATGCTAGATTTTATTATTCTCAAAATAATTTATAACTAAATATCAAAATACTTTCCAAATATATTTAACTGCTGAATAGGATAATTCATTTTTTTCCCAATAATTTCAGATTTTTTAAAAATATAATTTATATCAAACTTTAATAATTAATTAAACAAATTTCCACAATAAAATGCTTTTTTCCAATACAACCAAATTTTTTCTCTTCCTCATATCTTTTCACGGCAAAAGCTGCTAAAATATGGAAAAAACATCATTCATTCCAAATTTGCAATCCTTTACAGTTAGTAGTATGAATATATTTTATGTGTTGAAGTGTGTGCTGCATTGAACAATTATCACATGCTAAGTGAAACTATGTGCTGACAATTTTATTTATAAAGCATACTGTATTAATCTATTTTATGTGTTGAAATTAATAGTAACACGTGGTGTAAATAATTATTATATATTGTTAATTTATATTATATATTTGTACATGTTAACATATATAATATATTGCCTATTCAAATATAATGTCAATGATTTATTTATATATTTATTAATTTATTTTTAAATGTCATGTTTTTTTTTGATAACTTTTAAATGTCATGTTTGTTGTTACATTATGTTGTTAATATTGTATTGAATTTTTTTTTTTTTTTTTTTTTTTCATATATCATACTTCCTCCGGTCAATTTCAAAGGGGTTCTTTGAAAATTTGTAGTAAATTAAAAAATAATAATATTTTATTGTGTTGGGAAAGTGATTTATCGAACAAAACACATTCAAACACTTTAAAGGGCTAACTCCCTAAGCGTGGGCGGTTCACAGTTATAACAACGTTTTAATAACGAAAGACAATGCATAACATAAAACAACAATAAGACAGTTGTTTGTTGACCCGGTTCGATTATCAACAAATCTACATCGGGGATACCAATCCAGGAGGAATTCCACTAACCAGTGCTGATTAAGGACACAAACAACCACAACTCATTTGACTTTAACACTTGTCATGGTTAACCCAGGGAAATACTTCCTCAGGTTCGCGTTGCTACAACCTCGTACTAACAACGATGATGACTCCAAATATAAGCATATTCTTCGCTTAACAAAACTATCTATTACTTGAATTTCTGTATAAAAATCATCACAATAACTGGTTAATGACATACTTTATTGATTTATATCGCTTGGCATGACTCAGAGTTGGTTTGTTGAGATTATTAACAACTTTCGCCCTTTTTAAGCGGTGTTTTGGAGCAAGAAAAGCTAAGGCAGACGTCACAAGCGACAGCTATCTCTGCTCACAAGCGGTGTATCCATCGTCCAGAAAACTAAGGCAAGAGAGGTAAGCAGTAGCTTCCACCGCTCACAAGCGGCAGCCCCTCCCGCTCGCAAGCGATGCCCCAGACATCCACCGCTGCAGAGTGATGGCAGCCCTACTCAAATATTAACTAAGTGTCCCAATTGCAGTGGTACAACCATTCCACTATCAGCCAACACAAGCAAGCCCGCCTAGCTGCGTTGATGCCCTCCAGTCATCTGGCAAGCGAGGAAGATCTGTGCTCTTACAAACCCATGCAAGCGGAACAAGCACACTAGGAGTTATGACCAGCAACTGCTTCAACAGAATAACCGTCATCAACTGCCTAACTGCCTAGCGGTTGAAACCATCTTGTAACCGTTACTTTTACTTGCTATAAATAGGGTTAGATATCTGTATATAGATATACTTCGATTAGAGTATACTAGCGATTTCTTTTCTGTGCATTCTAGCTGTCTTTCTATTCTTCGAGATCTCCAACCCTGTAAGGGAGTTCTCCACATGAATGACCAAGGGAGTAGGGATTCCCCTTTCTCTTTTGGCCAATACTTTACTGCTTACTTTGCTTACTTAGTGTAGTTTATCGATTTCATTTACAGTTTTGTAGAATTAGAAATTTCAACTTTACAAGTAAGTAATGAAATATCATTCAGTTCTTCATCTCCATTTCTTTCACATTTTTTCACACTTATATAAACCCCGATTTTAAAGAATTTCACTTCACTGGTTTAGAGCACAGAAAAATTGATTATCTAAGCCTTGTCTTTTATTACAAACATTTTCAAGGTAGTTCAATGTAGTTGAGTACGTGAGAGCTTTGTCGACCTGCTTAACTACTTATTCAAATTCAATTTTGATTAAAAAGAAGTAACAGAAGGGTAAAGCTACTAATGAGGCAGAATTTTAGATAATTAATGGGGCATAGGCGGTGGTCTATTAGGTTGCAGAAATTCCTAGTGACAGTAGGGTTTCTTTCTTATAATGTTCCGATTTTGGGTGTCATTGATGTCTTGTTGTAAATCTCTTAACGTCAAATACCAGTAATAAAGATTCTCTATAATCTGGTTTATATATTTAAATCACCTCATCTCCCCGCTTTCGTATTATACATATATGTCCCGCTTAAACACCAACACCACTCGCTCATCTCATCCAAGAAAACCTAGCAATTAAGTAACACACAGTTCTTAAACACAACACCTCTCTTTCACTCTCTACCGCTTAAATATGTATATATATATACATTGTGCCATCCGCTCATGTCCCGTTTGCTCGACCATCACTGGCACTCCACCGCTCACCTCCGCTCCGCTCGCCTCCGTCTACTTTACAGTTTTTACTTACAGCTTTTAGTAGAATAAGAGTTTTGATCCATTGCAAAACGGATCCCCCTATTGCATTTTCCGTCGCTTTTATAAGATCTGTACTTGATTTAAAATTCGTGACTTAAAATCCCTGTGTTTGACCTGAAAACTCACCAGTTAAAGAGTATAAACAAATTATGATAACTACTTAGGGTCTACAACCACAAATGTTTGCCATATCTGAGCTTTTTCAATAATCCACCACATTATTTTCTTTGAATGAAAATTCCCCGTGAATACATATACACTTAAGACATAAAAAATTTTTAGCTACCAAACGACCACACAACAAAGAAGTCCAGAGATTGATCATTCCCTCCGGTTGGAACTCCATTAATTCCGAACATATTCGACATCTCCATTTGATATCAGTGTAGAACACACATTCAAAATATGGAGAGTTGAACTGGATGGGTGGTGAGAGCTTTTCTCAAGAATCTTCTCTCTAAGATATGCACACCAACTCACACCACACCAACTTGTTTGTCTTCTTTGGTTATATATTCTATGCATCTTTGGAAAGAACACATTTCACATTAATTTCCCTTAGCATAGAAAAGAATGGAGTGTTCTTCAATGATTCTGCACGATTCTGACCATCCCCTAAATACCAAGCTTGACTCTTGTAGACATTTAATGTTTGAACAAAATGAATAATGCAAAGCACACAGATTCAGACTGCAGCAGGATTGCAGAGACAACCTTCCTGCAACCTACGAATGCTAAAAAAGGTAAGGTGGCTGCAGCGTGAAGAAAGCCTGATGGACCATATGCCAAAATAAACTTACGGAATGTTTATTCACATATTGATTAATGAACATAATGTCGAATGCATTGGTTGCAAACACAAATGAACATACCCTTATTTTATTTTCTTAGTATGAAATTAATTTTTTTTTTTCTATTGTCGAATGCATTGAACATAATGTCAAATGTATATAAATTATTGTTGGAGGGCTTTTGATCCTCATACAACACCATAACATTGATTTAGTTATAAATGTGCTGACTTTGTGTTTTATGATATCTTTATTTATCTTCTTTCTCCCTTTCTTTTCTTTTTTTTTTTTTTTTTTTTTTTTTTTAGATACGAGGATCACATTTGTAATATATAAAATAATATTTTATATTAAGTAAGTAAATTTTTGCAAGTAGATATAATATATATTGTATGTGTATATATATATATTATATTTTATAATATTCATAGGAAATATATAAAAAAAATTATTGGGTGAACAACCACTAATATTTCTACAAAATACCTAAAAGTTATAAAAATTTAGAATAAAAATGCATTTTTTTTTTCAAATTTTTCTATTCAACACTATTTTATCATATACAATATCACATTTAACCAATATTTTTTAGGTAAAGAATAAAAAAATTAAGTAAACTTAAATAATTGAATACAATTACCATTAATTTCTTTCAAATTTAATTACAATTTTCCAATTATATTAAAATTACCATATACATTATCATCACCTACAATTAAGTATATTAATGATAATCAAATTTCAATATGATATATATGGACTTAATTAAATTCTATTTTTATAATAACTATTTAAATAGATATATAATAATTTTTTTATTTAAAAATTCAAATTTTAAAAATCAAAATTCTGCTTACACACTCCACACTGTCATTATTGTGTGTGTATGATTCTTAAAGCTTCCAATCCTATAAATATCACTTTCCGACTAAACCCAAACCCTAAAAATTTGCAGAGTGCAGAGCAGCCATGGCCATGAATTTCCAAGTATACCCTTCCCTTCTTCTTCTTCTTCCATTACTGCTCCAGCTTCCTTCGGTGTTAGTTTCCGGCACCCGACGTGAAATTCCAATACTGTCCCTACACAATAGAGACGCGGCCGCCCTGAGAAGCAGCGAAGGTTTCTTGTCGGACTACAAGACGTATTATTACAATCAAACGCTTGATCATTTCAACTACGCGCCGCAGAGCTATGTAACATTCCGACAAAAATACCTGGTGAACCGGCGATATTGGGGAGGTCCCGGATCTCCCATTATAGCATCTCTTGGGGCGGAGGAACCCATCGATGCTGACTTGGCAGTCATTGGCTTTCTTGACGATAATGCCCCTGTCTTCAATTCTCTTTCTATTTTCATCGAGGTAATTTTGATTTTCATTCAAATTTAATAATTTATTTAATCAATTAATTAATATAATAAATTATATGTTGATAATGATAATTTAGATATATTATATATAATATATATATAGAGACTATGGAAATTCAATTTTGTTGGATTGTATATATACTATATGAATGTGACAAATGATATATTAAATTTTTGTTTAAGATCATACCCTAATACTACTTATTTATTTTTTATTTTATAAAAATCTTGGCTTTACTTTGCAACCTGTAGTTAATATGTCATTTTCATCTCCTTAGTATAATCAATACACAACTTTCATTTTATGTATTTATTTTAAGTAGTATTAATAAATAATATTATTGAAAGAAAAGGTTTGACTATGACTTATTGCCACTAATTCATTTAATTTATTGGCTAATGCTTTAATAAATATTTTCAGCATAGATTTTATGGACAATCAATTCCTTTTGGAACAACATTTGAGGAAGCATTGAGAAATAGTACGACTCGTGGCTATTTTAGTTCGGCTCAAGCTTTAGCCGATTATGCAGAGGTTTTGTTGCATATAAAGAATAAATTCTCGGCTAAAAAATCCCCCATTATTGTAATTGGAGGATCCTACGGAGGAAGTATGTATCTCTAAAAAATTATAAATAATTTCAAATTTCAAATTAATATTAAATTATATCGACTTATGTAAATAGTTATTTACGAAATTTATTTATTTATTTTGTTACTCAATATTAAGGTTATTTTATTTTATTTTTCATTTATTTCAGTGTTAGCTTCGTGGTTTCGGCTCAAATATCCACATATTGCTCTTGGAGCGCTTGCCTCGTCAGCTCCTATTCTTTATTTCGATAATATTACTCCACAAAATGGATATTATTCTGTTGTAACAAAAGACTTCAGGGTACGTATTCATATATATATATATATGAGAATTATATTTTATGTTATTATATTTAAGTATGTCTTAAAAATTATATCTATAAACATGTTTCAATTAATATTGCATATCGTTTATTTTAGTTTTGCCATGATTTTTAGATAATATATTTTAATTTTTATTTTTATTTTTTTGAAGTATGTTTGAATTTAATAATATTTAATGTAAAAGTGATTTTTAGATATCTTGAAGTTCAAAGATATTTATTGAGTATGATGCTTGTTTATGAAGACCACATTTTGTATGATACAGACACATTGAGATATATATGTTCATTTTACGTTTGCACTGTATTTTGATCATTATTAATTTTTTTTATGCGAAATAATTATTAGAGATAGATATTTTGTATAAGAAATTTTATTTTATAAAAAATCTAGTATGATACTGTACAATAAAAAAAATGAGGAAAAAAATAAAAAATCAAATAGAGTAGCTTTAATCTAATTTTCATAAATACATTAAACCATAACCCAACATTTCTTTGATCAACATCAATGCAGGAAGTGAGCGAGAATAGTTACCAAACGATAAAGGATTCATGGGCTGAAATCGACAAAATTGCATCCCAACCCGATGGGCTATCCATACTTAGCCAAAAATTCAAGACTTGCCAGTAAAATTCTTTCATGCGTACAAAAGTATATCGTTATATGGTTCGATTAAACAAAAAAAAAATAAAAAAAAACTAATTTGCAGGAAACTAGAAAACTCGGATGAGCTCAAGGATGCTTTGGATGCAATGTACGCGACAGCTGCGCAATACAATGAACCCCCAAAGTATCCGGTCACAGTGATCTGCCGGGGGATAGATCAACATTCTTCTTCGGAGAATACCACCCACCCCGACATTATTGGAAGGATCGCGGCTAGCGTCGTCTCGTACTTTGGCAACAAAACTTGCTACTTCAATTCAACTAAAGCCCCTACACAAACCTCTATAGGATGGAGCTGGCAAGTAAGTCTCAAATTTCATATTTACATATATATGTTTTGAAAGTATTTTAAAGTACAGAGAATTTTAAAAATAACAAAAATCAAATATAGGTTTATTATTATTATTTTTTTATATAGTATTTTAATTGAAGGACATATATATATATTATGTATTATGATGATTATTAGTGCTAAAATGATTTAAAAATTATACTATGTAAATATTGTCATATTTATATGTTCTATTTATGTAGTATTATAATTTCTTTGAAGAAAAATGATACTAACCTTATTAACATATTTTTTTTTAATATTTTATATATAATATATTATGTGTTTATAGACTTGCAGTGAAATGGTGATGCCTGTTGGGAGAGGTGTAAACGACACAATGTTTCCGCCCGATCCGTTTTATTTAAAAGAATTTGTCAGAAGATGTAAACATTCTTTCGGTGTCGTGCCACGGCCACATTGGATCACAACTTACTATGGCGGATATGTAATGAAGCTATTATTTATTTATTTATTGTTTGTTTGTTTGCTCAAAATTATAAGTTTTGCTATGTAAGGTTATTGAATTGAATCCACAATTTTGTTTTATTTATTTTATGTCTTTGCAGGATATTAAATTGGTCCTTAGCAAATTCGGGAGCAACATTATATTCTCCAATGGCCTTAGAGATCCGTACAGCAGTGCTGGGTAATTATATAGTTCCATTTTTGGTTGATCATTTTTAAATTAATGTTAAATATATCTTATTCTTCTTATTTTAAATACTTTGATTTTTCTTATTTTTTCCCAATACTTAATTATGCGACACATTAATTTTCTTTTTATTTTTGTGTGATATATGTAGGGTCCTCGAAGATTTATCTCCAAGTATTTTAGCTGTGACTACACACAACGGTATGGTTTTCTAATAATGGATTTATTTAATTGTATATATTCTCTTGGGTTTTTATAGTTTATATATGTAATTGAATAATTTATTTAATAACTGCACTCATTTATACAGGTTCTCATTGTCTAGACATAATTAGATCTTCAGAAACTGATCCGGAATGGCTGATCGAGCAAAGGAAAATTGAAGTTGGAATTATTCAAGGATGGCTTAAACAATATTATGAGAGTATGCAGTTTTTTGGGATTAAGACTTAATTAAAACAATGATGGTCTAGTTGACATTATATATATATATATATATATATGTATGTATTTGGATTATTAAATTATAAAAAGTATATTTACTATTGGCGATTGATCTAATTTTGCGTTTCGTGCTTTTAAGTTCCATTTCTCACTACCAATTACTTAATCATGCTTTAAGGATAATTAATTCTCTGTTTACATTTATCGACTGAGTTTTTTGTTTTATCAAACAAGATAATTCATTTTTATTACCAAAACTGTGTTACAAGGTAGCGACAACAGGTCAGCATGCTTGTTTGTTGGAAATCGCAATCGGTCCTAAAGAAGTCCAACACCTTTGAGTTTTATGCGCAGCAGAAAATATGAAATCGTCGGTGGTCGACACAACTTTGAACGCGTGGTTGCCTTGTGGTTGTAACAACACTGTGTATTTGTGCACAAATCGATGGGTGAGTGAGTGCAATGTTTACCCAGTTCGATTTTTCAACCTACATCTGGGGGATTTCAATCAAAGAGACTTAACTAAACCAAACACTTGGTTTACACCATATAAGACACCAACCCAAACTACCCAACCTATCTTCTACCCAAGCTCCATTTAGTTTTACAAACTCTCATGAACTGGTTGTTACTACACCGTAATGACACCAGCAGACCAGCGGCCAAACTAAGAAGAAGATTGCGTACCGGATGGTTATCTTCATCGGCTTTTCAGCTCCAAAAAATTCTTCTTCTCATCTTCAATCGTCTATGGATGAGTTCTCTCAACACTCTATTTGGTGAAAAGAATAACACTCTCTAAGTTCTGGTTGCTCACCCACAGAAACAAAGATACATAATCCACAAAAACAAATCCTGCACACAAGAAGACAGGTTTGACTGCATGCTGTCTTTGGGGCAGTAAAGACGAGATATTAAATGCCTTCCAAGATGAGTGCAACACGCAAGTGTCAACTCTTGGATGTCCTCTACATGGGACATGTTGATTTGTCCCAAAACATTAATTATCCAACAAGTTTGACCTGCACAAAGGTGGTAACTCGGCCACAGTTTCTGTCTGTAAAGTATTTGCCAAAAACTGTGTCACACAGCTACTGCGACAACCTGACACATACCTGCATATTGCCAAAAATAGAAAAAAGAGGGTTTTAGCTTTCTGCTTGTTCCAACAATTTCCCAATTTTTGGTAATGAAGCAAGGCATACAAAGCAACAAGCAAACACACCATACATACACAGACATAATCAATTCACAGTTATTACAAGCCATCAATTCGAGAAGCCACAGACGGCTTTGACATCCAAATGTTGTTGTAACATCCAACAAACATCAATAGATTACAAAAATACGACATAAATTAAACATAGTCAGCAAATGACAATACCAACATTCAAGCACTCCCCTTTAACTGCACACGCTCCCCTTGGCTTGCTGCATCTTCTCTCCCTTGCATTGCAGCAGAGCCAGAAGGGAGGATCAAGGGCCGACATCCTCATAATCATGCAATTTCTCCCCAACAACATATAAACTCAAGTAGAAGGACAACAATAATGATTTCTTTTCTTTTTCCTTTTATCCTTTTTTTTGTCTATCCCCTTTTTATAATCGGGAACAAAGCAATAATTGCTAGTGAAATAAGGGGATAGAATTTCATAACCTTCAAGTGGAGCAATAAGAATCCAATCCACGACATAAGTTGGTTCATTGTTGATCATATCGTGAATGAATAACATGTCTTTTTGCTCCATCATGTTGTTGTTGAAGACCACCTTTGCATCTTAAGAAAACAATATTGCATCTCATTAGTTTCTGATTTTTTTTGGTCTCCACCCCATTCTGAATTTGATACATTGCTTGAGCTCTTCAGAAGACCAATGAACATTTCTCTTAGCCATCAGATCTTTTGCCAACTTAAAACAATGAGATTCAGCATGACCAAATTTATAGCAGTACATGCAGTTACTCCGCTGTTGTGACATCGAATTAACATGTATGTTCCTTATGAAATTTCGGTTCTACCTCTCCTTTCTGTTTTGTTTAGGAATTTCAGTTACGTTCTCTTTTGGGGGTTTTTCTGGAATTTTTACATGAGCAAGTAAACCTCCCTTCACAAAAGTAATGGGTTTCATCACTATTGATTCTTGATAACCAATTCCTTTATGATCTTCGAATGGCTTTCCGATCGACAATACTTCATCAAGTTTGTCTTTTCCCTTTCTGAATATCTCATTTTCTTCTTTCAGCTTGTCATTATACACTTTTAGTTATTCGATTTCCTTTTGAAAACTTTCACAACTCTCAAACATTTTTTCATTCATTTTTTCAGCTTTCTCAACTCGAGCTTCCAATCGATAAACTGTGTCGATCAACTTCTTATTTTTTGCAACACATATCTTTTGTTCAACAACAACCTCTTCATAAGCTTCCATCAGCTCATAAATATCCATTTCAACAGTTTCATTGCTATCCCCATAATCATCTTTGGAACATTCTTCAAAACATGCATTCTCATGGATTTTGCTTGTCTTACCATTTTTTTACCATAAATGCACAACTTCTTCATCATCAGAAATAGAAGTACCTTCACCATCTTTACTCCATGTAGCTTGAAATGCATATTTTCCTTTCTTTTTTAAATGTTGCACATTCCACTTTCACATGACCTACTTCACCACATGCAAAATATTTCGAGTCACTTGAGTTGTCTGGACTAGAAGCTATATTAAACTTCTTTGTTAGACCACTTTGAGATGAACCTTTGAGCTTACTGACATTTAGACAATTTTGCTCAGAAAATCTCCGTTGTTGTCTTGTTGCTTTGACATCTATCCGATTTCGAGTCTGGGACTTACCAAAATATTTTCAAGCTCGTTTTTCACTTATCATTCGAGACAACTTCTTTGATAGTAGGGAAATTTCTTCATCAGATTCGACAAACTCCAAATCTTCAGCTGAAAGAGCAATCTCTTTTGAGCTTTCTTATTCAATGTGATTCATCTCTCAATTCATAAAAATACCATTTAATGTTTCAAAAGATATGTTCTTGGTTTTTTTTTTATTTTTTTATTATTTATCCTCAAAAGTAGAGAATTTGACTTCGAACTTCTTGTTAACAGATCTCATCATCTTTCGAACCAACCTTTCTTCATCATATTTCAAGGCAAGAGAAATATTGCATTAATAGAAACATATATGTTTGTGTGTGACTGTGTGTGTTTTGTTATTTTTTGTAATTTTGATGTGATTTTTTAAAGTTAAGTTAATTTTTTAATATAATATAAACAATAAAAAAAGAATTTGATTTAATATTTTAATGAAGAAAAAATTATGAATTATTAAAATTGGATGAAACATCCACAAGCAAACACTCAAATCATTTGTATTGTATATTTTTAAATAAAAATAATTAATTCAATATAATATTTTAGAGGAAAAGAAAAAATTAAATAATAACTATATGTTGAGAAGCCTGCCCACCGCGACATACTCGGTAGGATTCCCGCGGGCATCATCTCCTACAATGGCAACAATACATGCTACTTTATTTCAACCGAAGATTGATCTCAAATTTCTATTGGATGGATATGGAGATGGCAAGTAAGTCTCAATTTTCACCTCTATCCCTTTCAAATATGTTTTACAAATATTTTAGAGTTTTGAAAATAATGAAAATTAAATATATAATAGTTATTTGATGTAATATAATATGATATTTTGATGCAATATTTTGTATAAAAATAAAAGTTTTTTTTTTTTTAAAATATACATTTTAAAATATTTATAAACATAATATTTTAAAAATATACATAAATAGAAACTTAGATAGTTATATATTTTATTTAGATGTATTGTATAATTTTTTTGGAGAAAAATGTTACGGGTTACATAACAACAATTTTCAATTTATACATAGAAAATGTGTATATATTTTAGTTTAAAGATAAGTTTATTTATTTATTTTTTGTATTTTAATCTTTAGATGAAATAATTACTGGAGATAATATTCTATATATAATATATTATGTATTTGTAGTCTTGCAGTGAAATGATAATGTCTATTGGAAGTGGAGTAAACGACACAATGTTTCCCCAACCCCTTTTCCTTAAAGAAGTTTGTCAAATGATGTAAACATCATTTCGGTGTAATGCCAAGGCCACATTGGATCACAACTTACTATGGAGGATATGTAATAAAACTATTATTTATATATTTATTTAGTGCTAAGTAAAGCTATTCAATTTAATTCAACAAATTTGTTTAATTTATTTTCTGTGTGTGTAGGATATCAAATTAACCCTCACCGTATTCGATAGTGTTAGAAATTTTGGGGGAAAACAATGAAATTGTCGTTTTAATCATCAAAATAAGGAGCCTATATATATAGGCAATACATAGCAGACTCGATAGACTCAAATCTAACTAATCTAATCTTTAGATAATATCAAATCTAAATATAAATCTACTAAATGTAAAACTGAATATCTAAAATATCTCAACAACGTATAGTAATATCATATTCTCCAATGGCCTTAAAGATTCGTACAGCGGTGCAAGACAATTATATATAACTCCATTTTTTATTGTACACTTTTACATTTTTCTAAATTAGTAAAATGTAATCTAACCAACTATCAATCAACATAGCTAGCTAATTACGGATGTTGAATACAGACATATAAATAATCCTATAACCATGATTAATTAATTGGAAGTGAGACAAGAAGTACTTTAATACTTTATAGTGTATACATACAAAATTTTATTAGTAACCCATAGTAAATATACTTTTTATAGTTTAATAATCCAAATACATATATATATATATATATATGATGTCAATTAGATCACCATTATTTTAATTAGGTCTTAATCCCAAATATTTATATATTTTGATAATATTGTTTAAGCCATCTTTGAATAATTCCAACTTCAATTTTTCTTTGCATAATCAACCACTTTGGATCTGTTATTTTTGCTTTTGCAATGTCCGGAGCAATGAGAACATGTAAAAATTATACAACAGTTATTAAACAAATTATTCAGTTATATATAAATAAATTATAAACCAAAACAATATATATGTAAATAAATGCATTATTAGAAAACCGCACCATTATGTGTAGTCACGGCTACAGTACTTGGAGATAAATCTTTTAGAATCCTGAATACCACACATATATTAAATAGAAAGCAAATTAATGTGTCAAAAACCTAAGTAACCAGTGAATAATATTGATTTTAATTTAAAAAAAAATACGAAAAAAACAAAGTATTTAAAAAAAGAATAGGAAGAAGATATATGTAGCATAAATTTAAAAATGAGCAACCAAAAATAGAGTTATATATAATTACCTTCCACTGCTGTACTGATCTCTAAGACCATTGGAGAATATGATATTGCTCCCAAATTTACTGAGGACCGATTTAACATCCTACACACACAAAATAAATTAAGCAAAATAGCTGAATTAAATTGAATAGCTTTACTTAGCAATAACAAATAATTATTTTATTACATATCATTCATAGTAAGTTGTGATCCAGTGTGGCCTTGGCACAACATCGAAAAAATATTTACATACTCTGGCAGACTTCTTTAAGTAAAACGGGCTTGGCGGAAACATTGTGTCGTTTAAGCCTTTTTCAATAGGCATCACCATTTCACTGCAAGTCTGCAAATACATAATATATTATATATCGAATATTATATCAATAATCATTTCATAAAAATATATATATATATTTTTAAAAGACCTCGTTTTTAAACTAAAATATATACACATTTTCAATATATCTATTTCAACATCTAGTTATTAATGTAACCCTTATCTTTTTTTTTTTCAAAAAAAAATTATAATACATATAAATAAAAATGTATAAATATCTAAAGCTCTATGTATGTAATATGTTAAACTGTTGCACAAAAAAAGCTCTTATTTTTATACAAAACATTGCATTTAACTACCAATTTATATTATATCAAATGACATTTTATATCTATTTTTTTTTTCAAAACTCTAAAATATTTTAAAAAACATATATAAATGACGTAAAGGTCACTACAAGAAAAAATCATTTTTGTAACAAAAATTTTTTGTCTCTAAATCTACTTTTTCCGTTACTAATGACATTAGAGACGGAATTAGGAACGGAATTACGTTAGCTACGTGAACTTTAGGGACGGAATTCCGTTACAAATATATTATTTTTTTTGTAGTGGGTTGAAATTGAGACTTACTTGCCATCTCCATCCAATGGATGTTTGTGTTGAGGTTTGTGTAGGGACACCAATTTGATTAACAAAGCATGTATTGTTGCCATAGTAGGAGACGACGCCGGCAGCAATCCTTCCGATGATGTCACTGTGGGGGTACTTCTCCAAAGAAGAATGTTGATCTATCGCATGGCACATCATTGTGACCGGAGGATTGTTATACTGCGCAGCGTGCGAGTACATTGTGTCCAAAGCATCCCTGAGTTCATCGGAGTTCTCTAGTTTTCTGCAATTTTTTCTTTTTTTAGTTCAACCTAATTGTATAACAATATGTTTTGTACGATGAATCTTACCGGCAAGTCTGGAATTTTTTACTAAGTACGGAAAATCCGTCAAGCTGCAATGCAATTTTGTCAATTTCAGTCCAGGAATCTTTTCTCGTTTGGTAACAACTTTCGCTCACTTGCTGCATTGTTGTCATTCAAAGAAATGTTGAACTATAGATTAGGCTATTTATGAAAAAAATAGTTCCAAAGTTTTACAAATTAAAGCTATTCTATTTGAGTTTTGTTTTTCTTGTTTTTTTTATTTTTTATTTTTTATGATTTTTCTTACAGTATGATACCATGCTATGATTCCCTATACAGATTTGAAAATTTTCAGATAACATATTATTTCACTATAAAATTAAATTGCAGCACAAACACAAACCGAACATATCTTAAAAGTATCACTTTGTATTTTTTATTTATTATGTCTTGATAACAAAGTGTCTCTTTGTATTTTATTTATTTATTTATTTTGTGTGTGCGGAGGAAAGGAAAAATAAACATACAAAATAATACTTTTCAGATCTGTTCACTTTTAAAAGTGTCTTTAGCTTTTTCTTTTGATAATTATTTTGTATATATATATCATACAAAATATTATATATATATATATATCTTTTAACTTAAGATATCATATTAAAAAATTAGGTTTACATTAAATATTATCAAATTCAAAATTTTACTTTAAAACACAAATACACAATTTTAAATAATATAATCTAAAAAATTATTTCAAAAATAAATTAAAGAACATATTGAAGTTTTAATTGATATATATATATATAATACAATTTTATAAGCATATTGAAATATCATAACACAAAATATAATTATCACATATATATAAATATGTACCTTGAAGTCTTTTGTTACAACGGAATAATATCCATTTTGTGGAGTAATATTATCGAAATAAAGAATAGAGACTGATGAGGCGAGGACTCCAATAGCGATGTGTGGATATTTTAGCTGAAACAATGAAGCTAGCACTGAGATAAAAAAAAAATAAATATAATAATAAACAAACTTCATAAGGAACTACATACTAGCACAAAAGATATCAATGTAATTTAATATTAATTAAAAATTAAAAATTATTTATATTTTTTTAGAAAAATATATACTTCCTCCATAGGATCCTTCAATTACGACAATGGGGGATTTTTGAGCCGAGAATTTCTTCTTTATATGTAACAAAATCTCTGCATAATCGGCTAAAGCTTAAGCTGAGTTGAAGTAGCCGCGAGTCGTCTCATTTCTCAATGCTTCATCTAGGATTGTTCCAAAAGGAATCGATTCTCCATAAAATCTATGCTGAGAATATTTATTACAAATTAAAAGATAAACTTAGATTAGCCGTGGCAACTATAAAATGTAGAACAACTTTTATTTTTTAAGTTATATTATTAATCTTTTTTAGAAAAATACATAAAATGTGTAGAGATAATACTGTGGAGATGAAAATGACATATTAAGTACAATATTTGAACAATGTAAGATTTTAAAAAATAATAAATAAATGGTATAAGGGTCTAATCTCTAACAAAAATTTAATAAACCATTAGTCATATTCATATACTATATATACAATCGAATCAAATTAAAATTTCATAATATATATTTTTTCTAACTTATCATCATCAATATATAATTAATTAATTGAATAAATTAAATTATTGAATTTGAATTACTATTAAAATTACCTCAATGAAGACAGAAAGAGAGTCGAGGACAGGGCCATTATCGTCAAGGAAGCCAATGGCTCTCAAGTCCTTATCGATGGGTTGCTCGGCTCCAAGATATGCTAAAATAGGAGATCCGGAACCTCCCCAATGTCGTTGGCTTACAAGGTACCTCTGTCGGAACATCGAGTAGCTCTGAGGTGCATAATTAAAATGGTCGAGTGTTTGATTATAATAATAGGGCCGGTAATCCACTGAAGAATGCTGCAGCAGTAATGGAAGAAGAAGAAGAAGAAGAAACAGAAGAAGAAGAAGAAGAAGAAGAAGAAGAAGAGGAGGAGATGCCATGGTCGTACGGTATACTCTACAACTGTTTTAGGGTGTGAGTTTAGCTGGATAAGGAAAGAACGATAGGGCTGAGGGTAGTGATGTTGATTTTGAGGACATCAGCCTATGAAGAAGTTATGCTTGAATGATCTAAGTTATGCTTGTGTTGTCTTAATTGTGAAAGCAGTTCGAGAAGTAATTGGTTATCTCAACAAGGTTGAATAAATTTGCTATCTGATTGATGTATTTCTGGAGTTTTAATCCTCTAATGTCCAAGTATTTATAGACTTGGCGGTTGGTGGTGGAGTAAGAAATGACGGTTCTGGTTATTTTGCCAAACCGTGAATCGCCGGATTACAGTTTGAACCAGGCTCGTCATTAATTATAATTTTTCTTTTTCTTTTTTGTTTTTGTTTTTTTTCAATCTAGAAGGATAGCAGCACCATGGCAAATTGTGTATTTTATAATTTTTTTTATTATATAAAAATACTCCGTCCGTCCTATAACTAAATATCAATTTACTTTTTGCGTGTTGATCTTTGCATGTTAATTATTATATCAAAACGTATTACAAATTAAGAAAAAATTGCAAAAATATTTCTATTTGTGTCTTATAATACTAATATAATGATATTTTATACAAATATAAATATATTTTTAACTTTAAGTACAATGACTGCAAAATATAAATGAATACCTTGTTATGGGACATAGGGAGTATTTAATTTAAGCTATCTTATTATTTAATACATATATGTTTCTATGATTTATTCTAATTCAAAATTCAATAAACTACTTATTAAATTTATTATTTTTAAATATTTTTATATTGTAATTGGCTCATGTTATGAATTTATATATCAGATCAATGGATTTTATTAACAATACCTGGTAAGCAAATACACATTTTAATTAATTAGCAGAAGAAAATTCAAATAAGTCCAAAACAGGAAAAGGGAATCAAATAGTGAAAGTTAAACACAATAGAATAAGGCTAAAGGAATAATATCTAAAACCAAACAAACATACTTTCAATTAAATTGAAGGCAACCATATTCGAATTAGGAATTGAATAAATTTGATATCACTTTGACTACTGCGTGTTTCTTTGTGTTATTTTCAATTTCCATAAATGGCATTATGCCTTAGCTTTAATTGCAATAATTTTTTTATTTTCGTTTTGGTTATAGATATAAATGTTGGATTTTATTTCATTATTGCGGTATTAAATCGATATACTAGGTTTGTCAAATAAATCCAATGATCCGGAATATAAATTTATAACAACTCATAAATTATTTTATGTCTATAATACAAAACTCAATATTACAAAAAACAACCAAACACACAAGAACACACCCTCTCGTTTATATGTCTATTAATGCATTTTCATTCGATTATTATGAATAATATTACCATATATATTAAGGCAAATATATATCTTTATAACATGTTTAATTGAAAAAATAATACTCCATTTGTCACCAAATATTGTTTTCGTTTCCTTCGCATAGTACAAAGTATGTGCAAGTTTCATATAGTGGCGTATCCCATTTGTATACAAGGAGGAGTGTTGATTACCTCACGATATGTAGATAAAGATGCATATCATTATCAACTTAAACTTTTTGATAAGATAGTTATTTGATCCCATGATTTTACGGTCACAAATTCACTCACCACAACACCATGCCATCCTTACTGGACACAGTACCAATTTCTTATTTTTAGTAATTGTGTACTCTACTACACATTACAAATATTCTTACATATATGCTTATTTATGTCAATGCTCTCACAATAACTTTACAAATCATGGGTGTAAAATATTCTTTACATACAAAATTATCATCCACTATCATTAAAATAAAATATTTATTATATTAAACTATGTACTAAAAGTAAACATTTACCTTTTAAGTGATCGAGAAGAGTCTATTAAAATAAACATATATATCTTTATTACATGTTCAATATTGAGAATAATATATAATTGACTCATTAATTTCTCTATGTTCACAACACAATACAATTACAAAAAATAACAAAACACACAAGAAGATGCTCTCTCAACTATATTTCTATTAATGCATTTTTACTAAATTATTATAAACAATATTACCATATATATATTAAAGAAAACAAATATAACTATATAACATGTTCAATCGGAAAGAATAACATATAATTGACTTATAAATTATTTTATGTTCACAACAAAAAAATCAATTATAAAGATTAACCAAACACACGAGAACACACGGTCTTAGTTATATTTCTATTAATATATAAAAATTTAGGGGAAAAATTATAAATTGTGTATTACAAAAATAAGGATACACAAAAATATATATATAAGTGAATTTGAACCTAAACTAAGATAAATAACACAAATAATATATCTATAACTAAAATAATGTATTCTCACTGTGTTATTATAAATAGTATTACTATATATATTAAAGCAAACATATATATATATATCTTTATACATGTTCAATTAGAAAGATAATAAATAATTGATAATTGACTTCTATGTAAATTTATATCTTGGATCAATGTAAGCTAATTCAAATAAATCCAAAATAATTAAACCCATTAAAAAATAAAAATTAAATACAATAGAATAAAGTTAAAGGCATAAACTGAAAATTAAATCTAAATCATACATACACACCTTTAATTGAATTAAAGGAAACATATTCGAATTGGGAATTGAATAAATTTAATGTTATTTTGATCTAGTACTGTTTGTTTGTGTTATTTTGAATTCCAAGAAATGGTGTTATGCCTTAGTGTTAATTGCAATAATTCTTTTTAATTTCATTTGATTATGTATATGAATTTTGGGTTTTATTCAATTATTGCTTCTGCTAATTAAATCATATTATGTACACGAAGTTTGTTCAATAATATTAACAACATAGGATATAAATTTACAACAACTCATAAATTATTTTATGTTCACAACACAAAACTCAATATTACAAAAAAATAAACAAACACACAAGAACACACCCTCTCAGTTATATTTCTATTAATGCATTTTCACTCGATTATTATGAATATTAATATTACCATAAGTATTAAGGCAATTGGAACATGTTCCCTTTGTTATCAAACATTGTGCTCACTTCCTTCACAAAGTATAAAAGTTCTGCAAGTTTTATATGATGGCATATCCCATTTGTATATAAGGAGGCGTGTTGGTTACCTCAGGTATGTAGATAAAGATGCATATATCATTACCAACTTAAACTTTTAGATAAGATAGTTATTTATATTATTTAATATGATATAGTCAACATTGATTTTAAATTGGAACCCCGTATCTCTTCTTAACATAATTGATTCAAATTATTTTTTATTCACAACACAAAATCCAACTGCAAACAATAACCCAACCCACAACAACATACTTTCATTTATATTTCTATTAATGCATTTCAACTTGATTATTATGAATAATATTACCATATATATTAAAACAAACATGTATAACATAATCAATTGAAAGGATAATATATAATTGATTCATAAATATAATATCTACTTTGTCTTGTTATGTTTAATAAGTTGTATTTGAATATCAAAGTTGATACATATTATTTTTAGATTTTATAAATAAATAAAAAAATATTATGAGTTGTTTACCATTGAGTTGTTTTTAGATTTTATCAAAGTCGTCTGTCAGTGTTCATTGTTGTTTTTTGGCTCTTGCTTCCATATATATTATTTTTAGATTTTATTTTTGTGATGAGTTTATTTTCTTTCTATAGAGTCTCTTTTATCTGATTTGATTTGTATTTGGTTTTTACATGATTTTGAGACTATTATTTGTTTCTCTTATTATTGAATATGGATCTTCTACTCTCCTATGGCTATTATTTTGTTCCAATCAGATATGTTCTTCCACACTCTTGGAGCAACATAATTTATTTATATTAAAAGTGTGACCATAGTTAAATGAAAAATGTTTTTGATTGATTAGGTATATGAATATGGCGTGTACATTAGGGCTTGTTATCTTTTCGAAAAAAATTATGATTTTTTATTAGGTAATATTGCAATTTGTCTTAATGTTAAATCATATCGGTCTTGCTTTCGAGCATCTGGTGTTTTTGACTTGCCAAGTTTGACATGTACTCCTCTCCGGTTTGGAAACAATTGATCAATATTGCCATATTCATTTCCATCCGTTTGTATTTCAAGTAGATCTTGAAATCATACCACCTAAGCTGTAATTTTTGAATTATTGTTACCACTAAAAAGTCTTCATTCAACTTATCCACTCGACATAAATTTCATGCAGAATCATCTTAAACTAAAATATTTTATTTATTTATTTATAGAAATATCACATCCAGTATCTATTTTTTCATTTAAAATATTGAAACAAACAATAAATTTTAACTAAAAATGTAAGGTAATAATAATAATAATAATGATGATGATGATGATGATGATGATGATGGTAATAATAATAATAATAATAATAATAATAATAATAATAATAGACCAAAAATACAAAAAATCGAACTTTAATTTCAGGCTAACATATGAGTTAAACATGCATGATTTAAATTAAAATGCTTTGAAAGACCAACCAAATTCTGTAACAACAATGATCAATGAATGAAATTTGAAAATTAGAAGAAATTGAGCATTGATTGAGTTTGTGCCTTTAGACAACACAAAAATAAAATAAATAAATATATAATGGCATCATTCTAATGCTTAAATTAGAGATAGGGTTTTATTTGGGTGGGTCGACTTTGAAATTAGAGTTTTATCATATGTAACTTTATTCCTTTCTTCTTTATATATTCCGTATGTATTGCATTGCCAGGGTGAATGTGGAAACTTTTTCTTTTTTCAAATATTTAATTTGTAAGGTTGATTCCACAATTAATTTATGTATTCACGGCAATCGACAATTTTTATGCTAGAAATAGTATTCATTATTCTACTTTTATTTGAAAATGACCATCATGAAACATGCATATTAATTATTTGAATTAGTAATGATCTATTTATTTAACCTTTTCCTTTTTCAAAATTTTGAAGTTTTTTTAATATACTAATTTTTTTTATAAGAAACATCACACATTATAACTATTTTATTCACACAATAACAAAGATAACTACATTTCAAAACGTTTCCACCTAAAAATTTAAGTTGTCAAGGATACATATTATTTATATATTTATATTACGGGAGTCAACTAACAAT